TTGCAGTTCGAGGGACCACCTGGCTAATCTCCCGCTCAAGTCTTTGAGACTCATAAGCCACTGCAGACTCGCATGATCGGTGATTACCGTGAACGGCATCATCTCCACGTACGGCCGGAATCGATGTATGGCCAGTTTGGCGGCTAGGCATTCCTTCTCGGTCACCGAATAGTTGATCTGGTGCTTGTTGAGTTTGGCCGAGAAGAATGCGATCGGCCTTTCCTGTTGTTCGTCGTCTAGCTGGAACAACACAGCTCCTACTCCGTAGTGAGATGCGTCGCATTGGATGAAGAATGGTCTTCGAAAATCTGCGTGAACTAACACCGGGGCTGTGGTGAGGGCTAACTTTAAGCTCTCTATGGCTTCTATGGCCTCGTCGCTCAACACAAATCTACCCGTTCTCTTCTTAAGGGCATCAGTCAACGGTACCGATATCTCAGCGAAATTCTTTATGAATCGGCGGTACCACCCCGCCGTACCTAAGAAGCTTCGTAGTTCCTTGACCGTCCTCGGATTCGGGATGTTCCGGATCGCTTCTACCCTTCCCGGATCCATGCGCAGCGTCCCGCCGCCTATGATGAAACCCAGGTAGTTTAGGTTGCGGAAGCAGAATTTCGACTTCGCCATGCCTATGGTGAGGTTCGCGTTCCTCAGACACTCGGCCACCAATTCCAAGTATTTTAAGTGCGTTGGAAAATCTGCCGATATTATCAGCAAGTCGTCCAGGTATACGAATACGTTGGACCTCAGATTCGCCGGGATTACCTTGTCCATGAGCCTGCAAAGCTGTTGAGCGGCGTTGCAGAGCCCGAATGGCATGTGGCGGAACTGGTACAGCGGCCTCCCTGGTACAGTAAACGCCGTATACGCCCTGCTCTTCTCCTCCATCTCTATTTGCCAGAACGCGAACTTAAGGTCGACGCTAGAGATAAAATGAGTCTCGTCGATTCGCGATAGGATGCCCTCGATGCATGGAAGCGGGTACGCGTCTTTTACCGTTACACTGTTTAATTTCCTGGCGTCTAAGCAAAACCTGTTCTTCCCAGGCCTCATCACCACCGTCGTCCGGTTGCTCCAGGGGCTGTCACTCTCCTCGATGATGCCCAACTTTAGCATCTTATCCACCTCGGCCCACACGATCTCCTGTTTGGCCGGGGACAGCGGATAATGTCTGTCTTTCACGGGTTCTGCTCCCTCGATCAGCTGAATTCGGTGCTGCAGCAGGTGAGTTTTCCCTAGGCCATCCTTCTCAAATTGGAGAAATCTGCGCTTCACGCTTTCCAACTGACTCCTCTGATCGTTGTCCAGGTCCCACATTTCCGGATCCGTTACGCAGTCGTCGTCGTCCCGGTAATAAGCCACCTCTGGGTTCGCTACCGTTACCTCAGATGCCTCTGGTGGTGTTTCGGACTTTCTGGCCGGACCGAGCAGCTCTGGTGCGATCTCAAAGGCTCGCCAGAAGTCGATTCCCAGGTATAGTTCCTGTCGCAGGTCCGGGCACATGTAAAATACGATATCTTCCGTTCTATTCCCGTATTTCACAGGCAGGACAACGCGACCTAAAATTGGGCGATTGGCACCCGCCGCTGTCCTCACCATCGATTCGTATGGCCGCGCTTCCCATCCCAGTTTCTCCACTAACTCCCGGCATCCTTGTCCCAACAGACTGACGGAGGCCCCCGTGTCCAGCAACCCTTTCATTTTGGCTCCAGCGACCTCCACTTCGGCGAATACTCGTGGGTCTATACTCTCCTCCCGTCTCACCGCTTCGACGACCTGGCGCCTGGTAATCCTGCGTCTGCGGAAGCGCGCACGTGCCTTCACCATTCTCCGGGTGGCTAGCGTCATCCCCTCCAGCTGTCGCTCACCAAAAATTCTATTTCGGGCCGACATGTATGCCCGAACACGTTCTTCGTATGGTAAGCCCCTAAGTGTTCCTCCTTTGCTTATACTATTATTATAATTAGCCTTATCCTGATCCTTATTCCAAATCTCCGTCTCCTTTCCAATGATTATTGGCTCTGGTAGGTGCCCCTCTCCTGCTTTCCCGCGGTCGCCGTCCCGGAACGCGTCTGTCCCGCCATCACCGCGCTCCCTCTGGGGTTTCCCGGACAGTTTTCACACTGCGAGCAGAAAGTGTCCGGCTTTCCACACCTATAGCAGAATATTTTCCGCTCCTTGGACAGGCAGTCTCTAAAGACGTGGTCGAACTGTCTGCAGTTCCAGCATACAATTCGGGATGAGTTCCTGCTTCGCACGAATGCCTCCTCCAGTTCTCCCGGTGGCGTTTCTGTAAGATGCGGTGGAACTTCAACCTCGTGGACTACGGGCCTCGTTCCTTGTGGACAACGCGACGGCTGAAGGTACCCAGTCCGGCTTCTGCGACCCATGTGCCTCTCCACTTCTAGGCACTCTTGGCGCAGCTCATCCACGGTGAGTACGTCCATGGCATAAATATATTTCGCCAGACTTTCTTTTAAACCACGCTTTATAATCCTCACCAGTTCTCGGTCTCTCAGCGGCTTCTGGAATCGCGCGGCGAGTTGACGCATGTGGTGGATATAATCATCCACCCCTTCGCTGGCCTGTTGCTCTCGTTGTAGAAGCTCCTGCATTACCTCGTGTTCCGTCTGGTAGCCCCGGAACCTGTCCAAGAGGGCATGCCGCAGTTGCATCCAGCTGTCGACCCTAGAATGCCGCACGTGCATCCAGTACCACTCGCGGGCGCGGCCGGTCAGGAGCAGGTGGAAACCGCGCAGGACCTCCTTCCACGGGCACTGATACTGCCTCTGCAGGAACTCTAGGCGGAACACGAAGTCCTCGACCGAATTCATCGCGTCCTCGCCGTCAAACTTGACGTTCCACCGCTCGAGCTTCATGTACGCAGTTTCTCGCACGTTGGCGTACGCCTCCTCCGGTTGAAAATCATCCGCTCTCCGGTCCTCTACTCGGAAATGGCGGTTATTCGGGTTACGCCAGTTCCTCGACTGAGCATCTGCCACGTAAACTGGGCTGCTGGACGAATACTCCGCCCCTCGTGCGCCTTGCCTACGTGGCTTCGGTGGCACCGGTGGTGGAAATGCCTCGCGCTGGAACGCTTCCCGTTCTTTCGGGATGGCGCCTGTTCGCGGTCCCGGCTCGACATGTCTTGGCGGCTTCGGCGCAGTGTTAGTCTCGGCGGTTTGGCTCCCTGGCGGCCTAAGCACATCAATGATGCCCTTCATCATTTCCATGAAGCCAGCTCGCATCTCCTCGCGGATGGACTCGCTGATGCCAGATGGCAGAGCATGCAGATATGTTTGGTGGGCCTGAGCGATCGCCGCGTTTGCCGCCGATTTGAGCACTGAGTCTTTCGGGGCTTTTGGGAACTCCAGGTTCCGTGGAGGTCTATCCTGTTGCGCCAATTCTTTCTCCAAGTCTACCAGGTGACCCTCTTTCGGGATCTGTCTCTCTGGAAATCCCCGGAAATTCATTGGCGTTCGCACCAGCCCTCCAGCTGGGCGCGGCGGTGGCAGAGCCGACGCCCCATCAGCGTCAGAAGCCCAATCAGACACCTGTTCCTCAGCCATACTTATCCCTTCTGAGAACAGTACCCCTCTCTTCTACAAGGCTTACAACCCTTATAAAAACTTTACTAATATTTCTAATAAATTAATAAATAAATAAACACCCACTAACAAATCTTACTAATAAAGAATAATAAATTAATACACATCGACCACAAAACACTCACAAAATTAAAATTTTTTTTCTTTCTAATTAATTTCAAATACTTGGGGGAGAGAAGACAAATCCTAACACAGGCTAAATAATCTACGCATAATCTGGACAGTGGACAACACTTAAGCATTCGTCCCATGCTCAGTTCGTCAGTTTGACTGACGGACGGCATGCAAGGAACGCTACCTTGAAGGCTATTTGGTTTCTGTCGCACTTCTGTGCACCCTTAGAGTATGCTGTGTGACAGGTGCGGCGCAGGATCGGCTCTATATCGTCCTGGGTCACCTGCCTCCGAAGCTCATTTAACTACGGCCAGCACACACCAAACGTTAACACAGAGTGGGACAAAACAAATAGAAAACATTAAACAAACTCTAGTCAGACCTACCCTAATATCACATTTCGTCACAGGTTATTTTGTCATGGCGGCTACCACCAGGCTACGATTGACGGTCGCGAACGTTCACCAACTAGCAAACGTGACTTACCGTCATCAACCGCGACAAGAAAACACCCCATGTCAATGGACACCATGGCAAGATCCGTCTCCGTCGCTCTTCTGGCCATTCTTGGGATATGCTGTGTGACAGATGCGGCGCAGGCTCGGCTCTATATCGTCCTGGGTCACCGGTCTCCGAAGCTCGTATAACTACGGCCAGCATACATCCAACATTAACACAAAATGAGACAAAAACAACTAATTGAATAAATAACATCTGACTAAACTACCCTAATATCACATTTTTTTAACCATGAGATGCCTTTGTCGTTGCGGCTACCACCAGGCGAACGATGGATAGTCGCAAATGTTTCGCCAACATGCGAACGGCCATCAACCACTACAAAAAAAACCCCTCATGCTTATGGATGGATATTCAGATAACCTCTACTTCCGTCGTGCTTCTCGGATTCCACTACACGCTGCGCGATTATGAGCTACCTACTCGTGCCACATAAGACTTCAGCGGTGTGGGTCCTGAAGCCAAGGGAGTCCTTTCCTCTGTACCTTCATTTTTATCGTATTTATTTTTCTTTGATTACACACCGACTTCAAAGAAGCCGAGTGCTTCTTCAATTTGGGCGCCATCTTGTTACGTAACTGCTTGTTTCTCAGTGGGCCGCGCCGGCTGGCTCATCGGATTCTCTGGGTGTGGTCCCATCCCTGGCCCGCAGTCCGCACAATCGATAACAACAAAGCTACACGTCTGTAGCAAAACAGACTCACACAACACTACTCAAAATGAACCGCATAATCGATAACAAATATTCGGAACTACTAACTCATGAACAAAATACACAGCTGTAACAACTATGAAAATGTAAACAACAAAGGTAAGACACTCAATATAAATTAACAAAAAAAACACTATTTATCCACCTTACTCTTCCAGATCGGGCCCCGGTTCCGGACCCAGCGTACCCGCCCTACCATGAGACGATCACCTCCACCCGTCTCCCTCATTTTGGCCACCAAATGGCCTATATTAGCCCGTGTCGGCCATAATGCCCACTCTCCCCAGCAATATTATTTTAGCCGGACATGATTTCTTTCAATTGGTGCGTATAATTGGTTGCGTTTTCTTAAAATGTATAACAATCATAATCATTGCTTATGGCATTTATCTTGCAGCTGTTTAGGATCTCATGCAAGCGGATAATTCATTAACTTCACAGGTGCGTATTACTGCTGCATATACTTATACTAATTGACACAGCGCATTAATTCCTAAATTTTTCTCTTATCTTATAGAATTAATTTTTTTTATTTTTTTACAACACTGAATGGAACAGGCGACGAAACACTACAAGGATATTGCTAGTCGCCGCAAAAGAAACGCGCAATGAGGCACTTTAGAGGCAATCGTTGCCCCGATTTAGGAACAATGGCCCGCACAATTACTTAAAACTGGGTATGTCACGTATTGTGTATTGTATGTATTAAATCGCTTAATTCTACCTTACCCTACCTAAAGAGCTCTCTGGGGGTGGTAAGGGGCGATATAAATGCGTAAATTCAAATTAGGTAAATATGTGAGCATAGTTCGCGCAAGAGTTAATTTTAGATTTTTTTTTTTTTTTTATATTTTACAGGCGCAGATGCATCACCGTTGGAGTTTTCCTCACCGTTCGCACTCTAAAGTGAAGCTCGGCGTAAGTGCCTATGTATGTATGAATATATTTTATAAATACAAATTAACCAAATTTAACGATAAAAAAAAAATCTACTCCTTTTCAGGGAGTGCAATTAGGAGTCTTCTTCTGACTCTGCCAGGGGCTCGAACGAGGATGGGCAAAACAATGGAACGGACTCACTCGGTGGATGTGGGCGGGGTCTCGCCTGTGGCCGCTTCTTCGTTGTTGGAGCCCGGTCGTTGGTGGCTCGTCTCGTCGCCTTCACGTTTGCGCCGACGCTTGCTGGCGGCGTCGCGGATATGGCTGGTTTGCGCCGCTGCACTGAATCCTGGCCTTGAATATTTCGTGGGCCTCTCTGGTGCGCGAGCTGGTCTCCTTGGTGCCGGAGCCGTTAATTTTTGGCTTATTTGGTTCGTCTCTCGTCGCACTTAAATTTTTAAGTCTCTTTTAATTTTTTTATTATATTTTCTTTGTGATTCGAGCGGTTTGATTTATGTAAATTTATTACATGGCAAAGAACACAAAAACAAAACTTTTATTCGTCTGTTAAGCCATTGGTATTATGTGCCGGCTTAATTTTTCAGAAGGGAAAAAATTTTACTCTGTCAAGCAGAAATGCAATGTCCAACTTTTTTGCTCACTTCGAGCTGGCACGCCCGCCGTTAACCGCTGAACAAATCGAACTCCACGACATTTTTGGCAGCCGCACCATCGGTGCCGAATTTCGGCACACGCATACATTTGCGAGGCGGGCACCGTTGCTGCTCATCTGCACAGCTGCATTTTTTTTGGGTCAACGGCCCAAATGAAGGCCAAGGGCATATCCAAGGGCATGCGATCCACTCTCCTCGTATTCCCTTTAAGAGCGAAACGGGCGGCCAATAGCAATCGTCGCTTTTGGCGCCGTGGATCGCATGTCTGGCGTTGCCACCCTTCAAAATTTTGGGCTCCGCCGTGGGCCCAGCTTCACCCCGCATACTCCGACCATATGCCAAAAAGATATCGGCGTGGCCGATAATATCGCACGCAACCAACTGAGTAACCCTCGGTGCTGCCGATAACGTCAAATGCAACAAGTTCGCGCAATTTGTGTTTCATACTACACACGCACACACGTATATTTAAAGTGTTTGCATGTGTGCGTGCTGGAATGAAAAAGTAAAGATCAGTGTTGTAAACATTTGTATTAGTGTAGAACAGGAAATTTGGATGATGCTTTGCGCAGTCTCATTGTAGCCATTGCGTATTTAAATTATAGAAATAGTTCAGCTAAGCATTCCAGATAGGAAGCATTAAACTCAAATACAAACAAACGTTTACTCTGAAGGGAATTATTAATTTGAGTTTGACTTTCATGGAACGTATATTATATTGAAAACTTTTCTGATATCAACGTTTTTTTTCCAAAGCGGACAACCAACTGAAGCCATCATTTCCAGGATTTAAAGTAACAATTTAAAGAATATGATATGACAGGAGACATTTCCCATTACATAGTGTGGGAATAAAATAAATTCAAATTAAATAAATTCAACAATTGGGTTATTCGAAAACCTATTTTCATAGTTTAAAAATAATGTTATATTAAACCGAGTATGTTAAAGAACCTAATGAACTTTTATTAAAAATATTACAGAAATACATTCATAATTACATTTACCTATAAATATATTATCATAAAGTACGTATGGTATATACACTAGTATGTACTATTATGACTATATATAACTTATCTTGAATGTTTATTATCTGTTAATATATTTTAATGTATGCGTGCATATATATACAATAGGCAACAAAAGAAAAGGTACGCAAAATAAGTATATACCTCAAGAAAAAAATATTTCTTAAAAAAAACTATATAAGTCAAATAAATTAATCCTTATTTTTCAGTTTATACATACATATAACTGTGTTAATAAAGAATACCAAACTATATCTAGCATATCGCAACTCAAAATAATATTATTTATTTATGATATATTTATTTATTATTATATAATATTTATTATCATTATCAAAATTATCAATAAGCAAATTATATTTATGTTTAGTCAATACATTTCGTAGACAATAAAATTAAACGTACATGTTTAAAGTTAAAAATGGGCAGAGTAAAAATTATTATGTAGCTGCTGCGATTTTGGGAAACATTTTTTAAAATTTTGTTTGTAGGCGTTCAAAAATAAAGCCCTTCCATATGAGTTTTGCTTAGTTAACTTGTACGAATACTTAATACATCATATATCACATGTTCTAAAATACAAAGCTCGTTCTTGAGCCGAATTAAAGCAGCCTATACCAAATATAATACTTAAAACATTCTTGAAAACAAGTTGTAGAAGTGTACAAATTACTTGTTTCGGCTTGCCAAAAATAAAGAACAATTAAAGAACCGACATTTAGTAAAAATCTAGAATTCACTTCGTTCAAAACATTTCGGAAGCTTGAATTGCATATATTAAGTTACTATCTAGTTGTTAATATTGAAATAATCTATCTTTAAACGCATATGATTTTTATCTTAACGTAATATAAATATAAAGTAAATGCAATTAATTGTTTTTCTTTTCTTTTAATTTTTTGTACAATTCAGTCATAGCATATATATCGATGAAATGCATACATTGTACTTAGTAACTAATATGATTTTTTTCGATCTAAAAAAAAAAAAACAGAATAAACCAAATATGTCGGAATATAATTAAGATTAAGGATGTACTTTTATTCGTACATTATTTTACTTTATAATAACTCCTTGAGAATACCGACAATACCTTAAATATCTATATTTAATTTATATCTACACGCGTGCTTTTACTTATATAATATATATGACCACATAAAACAAATAGCAGATTTTCAATCTGCAAGTCTAAAAAACCCAATTTAATCGTGAAGCGATAAAAAATTTAAGTATCGTGGATCAAACGGGGAATGAAAATATCTTTTTTATATTATAAATCACTTCGTCAATTAGAATCAAAGGTTAGGTTTAGTTAGAATAATCTTGTCACAAAACCAAGAAGGTTTCCTTAAAATCTTTTGGTTATGGATTGAGATTTTGCTTTTGGTTATGTGGGGATTCATAACGAAATGATTAGTGCAAAAGGATGCCATCATTTTTCTATATAACGTCTTCTTGTCGGAATATATATACCAGAAACAACGCGATGAAATTAAAATATGCGGCATGTTTTGTTGCTCGAGTTGGCACTTGATAGAGTAGTTGTTTGTAGGTTCTTTGCACAATAGCCCAAAACGAATCGTTTTCGAATTGAAATTGGGATGCTTGAAATGATAAAAATCAGGGCAGCAGCGTTGTTGATCACATAATGGAACGCACATTCTTGTCAGCAGTTTGACGTATCCTCGCCGTCGAGTGTACAAGCCACACTTTCCAGTTTGCTAGACAGATGCATCTTTTTACAATTTGGATCCGAATCCAAAGCGTCCATTATCTGAAGAAAAAAAAAAATGTTTTGTCAATAAAATCGAACCAACTCTAATCAATACCATCAATTCCAATGGCTCACCTGTTCTCTGTACTTTGTTATATAAATGTACAGCTCTTTCAGTGCGGAAATTGTGTCAAATTCTTCATTCTGTTGTACGGACAATTGCTGCATGGCCGTGCTCATTTCCTGGTCACTGATTTGGGGTAGCCTTGCCACGTCCCTGTAAAATTCCTTAACCATTGTTCTATAGTTCGGAATATCCTGTTCAAATAAAGCGAATCAGAATTTGTGTCCAGTTATGCAGCTAGGGGAATAATTGTACTTACTTTTGCAAACAGCAGCTTGTTGGATGGCGAGTCCTTGCCCAGTCGATGCTCTGCTGTCGAACAGGCGTCCATAAAAGTCTGCGCTATGACACTCAGGCAAGAATCCACAGAGTAGGTTTTGTTAACATCGAAAATGAAATCTGGATTCTTAATAAAGTTAACCCAAAATCGTAGCGGCAAACTATTCGACTTCCAGGCATGCAATATATCCGTTTCGGCAATATTATGACGTCTGGCCGCCTCATCGAGCAGATCAAAAAGCCATTTAACTGCTGGCGGCAGCTCCTCATTCACGGTCAGTATTATGGAGAAGAAATCATCGACGAATTTCTGAATTGTGCCCTTTGTGGCCAGCAGGCGAGTTAAATATACCTCAGGTATGGTCTTATTGACCCGCTCGCTGCCGTTGACAATGCAATGGGTGCCGCCTTGCGCCGGTGCTAGCACTCCGGACATTGCAGAGTTTTTGATATTCATATAGTGATCGGGTATTATGGGCTTGACCAAATGATAAAGTCTCGGCTGCTGCAGACCGGATTCAATATCGTTGTTGATTATAATGTGACTCTGTGAGTTGTTGATGTAGTAAACTAAAAGGAAGAAACCGTAATAAGGAAGATTTACGTTTAAGATTTGGGATAACTTACAATTGTGGTAAGGCGCCTGTTGCTTACTGTAAGGCATATTGTAGCTATCGTTCTGTCTGGCTATGAGAGACATCACGGCCGACTCCTTGACACCGTAATGGGACAACGTATTAAGGCGCTTCCAGCCGTTAATGGTTTTTGTAGTCAGATCCTCGTCCTGCAGGGTTAAATGACCGCCGCGACCATGACGCCACTCGAGGTCTACTTCGTGCACGGATGGCCGCATCGAGAACGGCGTATTTTTGAAAATTGCATCGAGAATCTTCAGTTTGACCTGGGATATTGTGTCCCAGTCATTGACGCGACACTGAACCTTTTCGTCCAGGTCATCTTGCAGGATGTGCAATATGACAACGGAATGTGTGACCTGTTCGTGCAGCAGACGTTCCTCCGAGAGCGAATATCGAGCATCGTGCGTTATGGCATCGACGAGACCCTTCTCAACCTGATGCTTAATGGCCTTGAACAACAGAAAGAGACTGGAACCCGCATATTCTTTAAGATAATCGTACATACAAATCGCCAAATAGTTGGTTAACATTTTTTCAACCACGCTCTCGGTGCGGCGCAGCATCAACTGCGGATGTTTGCTGGCCAGCGACTTCTCGATGAGGCGCAACAAAAGGCATTTCAATATCTCCGTTGCATACTCCATTTTGTTCATAAGCACTATCATCAGCAGGGAGGCGACATTAACCCGATCGCGTATCGAAAAGGAGGATCGCTGCGCCTCAAGCGTCTCGATAAAGGTTAAGAGGAAATATTTATTGCTGACCAGCTGCTCGAATTGCATCATGGCGGTATCGTAATTTGTGTGCTGACTATTGCCGCGCATTTTCGGCGAATTCAAGATGGGGTGATCCGATACGCCCGGAAAGAATACCTTCATTATGTAATTGACATGATCGAGCGTCGGTATGCCGCTGCTCTCCAGGTCCGCCGTCAAATCCGTCATATCCGTTTGTAGTTCGGCGAATGCCTGCTTACATTCGGAGCGGACATTGCTCTCCAACGTGATCATTTGTATCTGTATCCGTTTGTATTCGCGCTCCGCCTGCGTCGACTTCCGCCTGAACATGATCAGCACAACTATCAGAACAATGATTAGACTGACGACGGTTAAAATGATGCCCAGCATGGCATGGGAGAGCGCATAGGGTTTGTTTAAATCATATTTCAGATAACCGATAACAAAGCGCAAGTTGCGTCCAACCTTGACAACGACTAACGGCAAATCCGTTGACTGATCGACGCCATTCTCATCGGTCGCGGATGGCTGCTGTTCCGGCGGAATGCACAGCAGCTGGGTAAGAGCCAGGCTCGTTATATTGCACTGGGCAGTGCCAATGGTTACATTCACATCGTACTCATCGGCCGCTAAATTCAGGAGCTCGCCCTCGATAACCAAAGTATCACCCTTATAGAGCTTAATGCCATTGTTAGGAAACGGCAGATACTTGGGATCGGTCAGATAGACAATTGTGCTCCTGATATCATGAAAATACTTGTTCAAGTCGCGCACCAACTGCACATTATCCATGACAAAGCTGAGCTGCAAATTGAGCTGCGTCTCATGGACCTTAACAAAGGCAGCCACATCCATGCTGTTGCTGGCGAAGTAACTGGAGGCCGTCGAGCCCGTTGCGTAAATGTTGAAGCTGTCATTAAACAGGGCATTACGCTTGCGCTTGGATTTATCTTTCCCCTGTTCCGATTTGGAGCTGGTTTCAATCGCCGATTTGAGCAACTCGAACTTCAGATTGACCGGCGGCGACGGGCACTCCATTTGGCTTGAATTGATCACAGTGCAGGAAGTTTTGTTAACGCGTTCGTTATCAAAAAACACCTCCAGCTCCGGGTTTTGTATGGAGTCCAGATACATGCCATGTACGGTCAGAATGCGGCCGCCACTGACAAAGCTGCGGAGCGGCTTGATTTGCATTATGCGCGGATCTTGTGTGTAGTTAAAGATCGAGCACGGCGGCGGCGGCATATTGTAATATGCCCCGTAATAGCTGCGCGATGTGCTTATCAGCTGCTGCTGGCCAAAGTCAGGACTCTTGCATGTGAAGGTACGATTGGCGCCATCCACAACTAGGCGCAGAGACCGTATTGGCTCCGGCTGTGTCGCTTCGGACGTTATGCACGACAGGCGAGAAGACGAGGCCTGCGTCACATTGATATGGCACTCGTATTCGTCGAGGAACGCCCGAATGCTAGAGCCGATGTTCAGGTATTTGCCCAACAAGGACAACTGTGTGCCGCCAGATTTGGGTCCAACTGTAGGATACAGGCCGGTCAACTGTACATCTTTAAAGTGAAATTGTACACTCGACTCTGTGTAGCCGGCATCATTGGCCACCTTGATGGGCGCCGACATCTCGTGCAGCGCTGCACCCGTGCGGCACTCAATCTTGACGGATATCTGATAGTTGACCAGGTCGCATGGCACGGTCCCAATCGAGATCTTGCCGCGCACATCCTCCTCGCGTATGCCCAAATTGCTGCCCTCTATGGTCACCAGAGTGCCGCCCTCGATCGGCCCGGACAGGGGTTTAATGATGTCGATCCGCGGACGGGGACACTCGTTCTGCAGCGGGAGAGCCGAACCCAGCGTGGCCGTATCATAGCCATGCCCAACCGATCCCGCACATGTTTCATTGTAGACACACGAGCTTCCGCACCAGGCGCACTGGTACTTGGGATCCCGTGTGACGCACAAGCTGCAATCGGCGTGCTCGCGATGCGAGCCAAGTACATCGCACTTATATAATATGACGGTAGCGGTGTCCACATAGTGTTGGCGATTCCATGTGATCTCCACCTTGGCCTCGTACTCGTGCGTGTTCGTCTCGTAGAAGTACGGCGTCTTCTCGCACACGACGATCTTGTTGGACTCAATGTGTGCCGGCAAAAGCATTTGGGCTGCCTCGATTTGAATTGTACACAAATAACCGGCGTGAGCGCTCTTTGGCTTTGGCAGATTCTCGATCTCCAAACGAATCTCCTTGGGTACACGAACCGGCAGCAATATTGGCTGGCGATTGCGCTTCAAATGCGGACACTGGCCCTCTGCGCTGATGGCGTTCTCCATGTTGCGGCATTGCTCCAACTTGTGGACGCATTTGTTGTCGAATATGCACCAGTTGCAGCCCCAAGAACTGCGCACGCACGACTGGCAGTTGGCGTGATGCGAACAGTCAAAGAAGGCAAAGGAGCGCGAGACAAAGTCCTTGTTGGTCTCCGAGCTGCGTACCGAGAGCGGTACCAATATGTGATCCATATTGGCCGCAATGCTCGGCCTCTGATCTATTGGCGGCGTGGCGCAGGCCAAGCCATGCTCCAGTATTTCGGCATCGATTGGCGTCGAGTTGCCAAACACACAACGATACTTGGCATTGAACGGCTCCGGTAGGGTGCGTATAACCAGCTGCACCTGGGTCAGCTCCGTGATGGGTATTTTGTCCGGCACAATAGATTCGAAATCGATGCACTGCTGCCCGCTGCCCAGCGATAGCCAGCGCGATGCAGATGTATCCCGCTGGCAGGTGGAGCGAACTGTGCAGCGCTTCTCTAATGAGCACCAGCCACAGAAGGGATCACGCGACTCCAGACAGGCTGAGCAATTCGAATAGACAGAGCAATGCTCGATGCGCAATTTGGTTATTTTACGCGTCGACAAAACGTAAAGAAAGTCCTTTTTGGGCGACATCATTGTGTTGGGCAGAATGCGACTGCCGGCGTCCACGACGATTTCCTCGTATTCGCCGGGATTCTGACCGGATAATAACACCTTCTTGACGGTGCCGGCTTCGGTGCCAAGAAACGCCAGCGAATGCTGTTGATCGGTCGTTGTTGTCGCTGTCACCGAGGTGACGGACACATTATCAAAGTGGAATAGGGCATGTGCTGATATTGGGGCAACTCCGCTTATTTTCAGTCCCACATTACAAAAGTTGTAGATATTGCCCAAGGAGCCGACAATTGGGCATCTGCCATCGTTGATGGTGCCCGATATATAGCCCAGATTTCGATCCTTAATCGTGCCATTGAAACACATGTGTATATTCTCGATGAACACATCCTCAATGTCCTTGAGACTATATATGCACATGGCCGACTTATTCTCAGGCTGGTCGCTTATATCTTTTGATGGCGAAAAAACCGTGACCAGCACATGATCATCTCGCTTAATGCCCATTTGATAAGCCAGCTTTTGACTGGCGTGCGTGATCTTGGCATCGCGCAAAATATTGTAGTCGGTGTGATCGTCTGTGGCCGTGCACTGTATGGTTATCTCCGTATAGCTGTCATAGTTGGGATCCGTAATGCAGATGCGTGCCAGACGCGTCACATAGCCGGCCTCTTCGGCCAGGTGCGACTTCTTCTGCACGAGAACAAAGTATGCGTACTCTGACGAATTGAATCCGTAGACATAATCAACTAAAAAGTGATCACGATATTTAACATCTATGTTAATAATCGACTGCTGTATTGAGAATTCAGCATAGTTTAGATCGTCGAGGCGGCGCGACGAAATCGCGGGCACGTCATGCCGATAGTCACCCACGTTGGTGAACGTTGTGCCCACATAGAGTATATCCTCCTCTTTCCACGAATAACGCGCGGGCCCAACGAACGCATACGTGGAAGCATATTCGTCATTCGCGGCCAATGGCACGGCCACAAATTGCGGCGCCGCCGGGAATCGCAAAAGATTGTAAATCTCACAAGCACCTGCCGAAAGAAAAAGGTTTATAAATACAACTGATATAAAAGTTTACCTGGATAAGAGTACGGTTTATTTTTGTGGGGCTAATGGATATAAAGCTACAAATCAAAAGTTCTAATCGGACGGACCTGATCCCCATATTTTTATGGAAAATGCTTTCGATTACCAGATCTTTATATAATTGCCCAGATATATATAATATACAAATCAATTTTTAAGGAATGGCCGGAGGTATCCGAGGAGAGTACGAAATTTTTGGTACGTTTAATTTTCTTGAGCTGCGAGATATATCCAAAAACAGGATCTTTATATCGGATCGGGGACGGTAACGGATTCTTACTGTCTCTGAGATCGGACGGACTAGGCCTGTAGGGGATCATGGATCGGGGATAGCTCCGCTTGCCCATTACATACTTTCCCCGTTTGAATCGGTTCAAGGCAGAAAAAAGTGGATTCTATTGTTCATACCTTGTCGGATGCTACCACATGAGATGAGAATGCCGTCGTTATGAGCATAGCTAACTACCAATATCTTGTTGAAGTTATTGACCAGCACCGTTTCCACATCCTCCGGACAGCCGCCGGCGTGGCATTGCGGTGCATCGTGCTTGGGACCAGTGACTGCCTCCGAGAGAACGCGCAGATTTTCATTTAGCTTTAGTATCTTGTTTGTCGCGCCCGCATACAGTACGTTGTGCGTATAATCAAAGGTGAGATGCGTAAAATAGTTTTTCGATTGACTATTAGCGCCAATTCCCAATCTGTTGGCAGAGTTCGTCCGATTGCCAAAGTTTGCCTCTGTCGATGTTGAGGTGGAGCTGCCGCCGCCGCCTGTGTCAAATATTCCACCAGCCACGCCGCCGGCAATTGGCGGAAGAGCAAACTGAGCAACTATATCACTTGATGGGAACTGCTTGTTGTACACTTCCAGATGCGAATGTGGATGGGTATTTGCGTGCTCAACTTTGATGCAATCCACTGCGGAATGCAGTTGCAGTAATAGAAAAAAGGCATCCAAAATGTATACGGCGCCATGCTGGCAGAAGATTTGTTGCAACATCCTTTATGTGCGAGTCCTCCGACCACTAATTTATATGTATAGAAAATTCAAAATGGTGTTTTTTTTCATAGGGAGTTGAGGCGGAGCAAATGCGATGTGCTATTTTATCAATGGTACAGCCAGCTTTACCAATGCATCTTGAATCACATTCTATTATACACTGTTAGTTGAAAACGGTTTAGAATTACATTGCGGTAACAAGAAAATATTTGATTAATCAACTAAAAGGAATTCTGCGTACACTACTTCAAACACGCACACACATGTACATATTGTGGAAAAAAGTGTATACTTTCATAATTGAGCTGTCAAATCATCAACTACTATCGATGATTAAAACCGATTAGTTCGATAGCATATTTAACAGCTCTGATGTACTATCGATAAGACTGTATAATCATACATATTTCTTTTTTTGTTAGCGACCGGTAATCGGTCATAAATAGCGTTGGCAGCCCTATTTTCCTGTTTAAAATGTTTGAATTTCACCCATAACTCGTGTTTTATGTTAGCAATGTTAACATGTTAACCTAACACACACTCAGATAAATGGACATAAACACATTCATGTGTAAGACACCATAAACTGATATTCATTAGTGAACATTTCACATAATTTTAAATGATATTCCGTATTGTAAGGCAACTTATCATATGTGGTTTTGCCCTATTTTTTATTAATAAGTTGACTATTTTTCGTTTCGCTGTTAAAATTGGTCGTTTAACTCAGCTGGGACTGTAAAGAATTTAGTAGTGCTAATTTTGAATGATCTACACTGTAAAACTCAATTGTAACTGTTAATATTATCAACTGCTCAGTTAGAAATAGGTTTATAAATTGCTCTCGCCAATCAGGTTATACATATTATAAATTATGAATTATTCATATGAATCTGTATAATAGGCAAATATTTATTATATCTTTATTTTTATACCGATGTTCACTATATTTCAATTGAAATTGGGAAGACACGTATTGGTAGTTTTTGATTATAGCTATCTTAAATAAGAAATTTATCTTCTTGAATTGCTTAAATACAAATGCAATTACAAACGTTTCCTTATAAGCATATAAGCATATACTTAAATATATATGTATGTATGTTTCTTTGCGGTCGATCGAAAATAAAAAAATAAATAATTCTTAATTCTCAATACTCGAAAATATCTGTACCCTGAAGCTGTGTATGTAAGTACATTAGTGTTGCTTGTGTGTATGAATGATTATTAGAAGTATGTCGCGTAGATTTGGTTTTGAAATTAATAAAATCAATGTCCTTGTCCTTTTGTGTAGTCATGTCTGAATATGACCAGTGTGGCCACCTGCCGCTTCAAAAAAGTAGCTTAATCCAGTTGTAAAAATAAAAACTGTAAAAGGGTTGATAAATGTATTAAAATGTCAACTGTCTGTCTAATGACATCTGTTAATGTTCTAATTAAACTGAATTGGCAACTCTGAATATGAATCTTTGAATGATTTATAAAAACTAGTGAGCATAAGTCTTTCCAAACGTAGATATAACCATTATTTAGTATGCTACTGCATCATTTGCAGGTATCGATTCTCTTCCAGTAGAGAGCTCAAGGATGTTGTCATATCGTTGATAATCATATTTGTGCTGGGATGCGGATGCGTCGAGCTGCTCACATCAGCCCAAATCGGATTGTGTTGGTTACTGGACATTTGCGGATTGCCCATCAACGAACTGTTCGTCTCCATCCAGTTCTGGCAGCTTTGGACATATTCCAGGGTACGCTGATAGGTTTCCGAATGCATTGATGACATAATGCTCGGATGCTCCGACAATACCTTAGCCTCCACCCTTAGGGGCTGAGCAATTAACTGATCTTCCCCCTCCATGGGCTTCGGTAAGCAGGGATTCTGTGGCGCCTTTGCCGGACAATTGACATCCATATTGGCAGTCGGCGACAACTGAGACTGGCTGACAACCCCGCATTGTATCTCGTTGCCGTTATTTACGTTGGGAACAACGCCCAACGAATTAGGATTCGACAGTTCAGGTAGACTGGTCATCGAGGAGTCAATAATCTGTTGTGGCTCGTAGCTGGGAGTTGATTGTGGTTGAGTGGGAGTCGGAGCCTGAGCCGGATGCTGGGATGCCTGGGTCATGGCTATGGTCGGAGTCGGGTTGAGGATCGGGGCCGGCGCCTGACCTGACGTCACAAACGGTTCATTATTAGATCTTGGTGTACAGTAAACCGTCTGCTGTTGACGATAGAAATGGGTGGCGCCTTCTGCTTCATAGTTTCTCTGAGAGTATGGACTACCCAACGCCGACATGGTATGTCCGGATTGGGGGGACATCAGCTGCACAAGTGGAGATGGACAGTTGGGAGTGTGGGTTGGTGCTGGCGACACCAAAGATTGATAAACCGCATTAGCTGTAAGTGATCCTCCATCCGGTATATTGTTGGCTGGTGGAGCTGGTGTTCCTCCATCCTTTGATTTCGGGTTCTCGGTTTCCTTAACCAAATTCAGATACTGCAGCATCTCATCGGGCAATATAAGCTCCTCAACCTCATCCAAATTGACCTTCTCATTGGGATGATGTTCCCGCGAATTGTTCATGGTTGTCGGTTCACCTGGGCAATCCTTGGTCTGTACGCAAGTGGAAGTGGAAGTAGAAGCCGTCGATGGACACATTCGATTTCTATTATTGGAATTGACGGAGCTGCGCATGTTCTGGAAGACATTTGGATTGAACCTTCGGTCAATGCTCTGCTGTGCCATGATAGGCTCCGACTGACGTCTATTCTGGGAGATCGGGTTTTCCTCGTACGCATTGGCAAAGTGCGAATTGAGCGGCGATTGCAGCACGTTTGGAATTGAATAACGCCCGCCATTCGCATTCGGATTTTGATTCGGATTCTGATAGTAGGCGCGCGCCTCTCCCGACTGCAAGCGTTGCAAATGCGAGGCAATCAGGTGGGATGACGGCGGGGGAGGTAGGCTGCAGTTGCTGCGCAACCCAGATCCGCCACAGATGCCGCTCGATGTTTGGCACATTGATGGAGCATTCGTTGCGTTGACCACATTCGACATTTGACTGGAGCGACGAGAGCAGCCCGGCGATATTGGATCGTATAAGGATGGAGCGCCCGATCCCATATTATATACGGGACAGGGCCTCATTGTCGATATCGTTGACAGCTGCGAGGATTGACTGCTCCTTCGGCTCTGCATGCTGCAGTAGTATGTGCTGGCATTCGAGTTCTGGCTGTCGCGTCGCATCGCAGCCACCGCCGCCTGCGAATAGCCCCCCTGCTGGAGCTGAGCTGCCGTGGATCGACTCTGCTGGCCTCCCGGCTGTGACGGCGAGTGCAGCTCGGTTAGTCCAGCACAGTTGCCCGGCAAAGGTCGTCCTGGCTGCGGAGTTGCGGCTGTTGTGCCCGGCTCCATTTTTAGCTCGGTAATACGCTGGTTAAGCTCAATGATGCCAATGGATCGATTGCTCTCCGGTATGTTGGACAACATCGAATTGCTCGAGTTGATCACCTTAGTCTGTAGGCGACTGCGGAAACGCTGGCGTGCCATGGTGCTAGCACATGCCGTATTTCCATTGCCAATGTTGACCATGGCACGCAGCACGATGGGCAGATCGGCGGCATCGATATCGTCGTCATAGGGCCAGCCCTCGTCGAGGGTCGGCACGGTGGCATTACTCAGATCATCCTGCCTATAGATGTGCATAAGGCAATCGGAATTCGTGCCAGAACCTCCGTTTCCTGCAGCCAGTTGGCCCGGCGAATTGGCATCCGACTCCGATTTAATGCTCGGACTGGACACACTGGCCGGACACAGTTTGCCTCCATGCAGATCCTCGCTGCACGGACTGGAGTCAATGTGCTGCTCCTGCAGCTGATGCTGCTGCTGCTGCTGCTGCTGCTGCTGGCCACTATCTCGATCCCTATCCAGACCCGAATTGGCATCATGCAGCGGCAAGCCCTTATGCTTTTTATTGGCATAGAACTCGGCGCCGTGTACGGTCTTCACGTGTTTCCGCAGCGAACTGGGATCCGTGTAACGCTTCGTGCAGCCCGGCGCCTTGCAGATATACGGTTTCTGTTTTAAATTGTTCAAATTAGTTAATCGATTTAATGGGAACTTGATTTAATTTAACAAATATACAACTCACCTCGTTGCTGTGGGTTCGGTTCTGGTGCTTGGCACGATCGCTGGCATTGCTAAAGGCCTTGCTGCAGCCTGGATATTCACAGGTGTACGGTTTTTCCCCTGTATGCGAACGCAGATGGGTTTTCAAGTTCTCCAAACGAGAGTACGCCTTATAGCATCCCTCAAACTATACCAGAACACATAAATTGTTGTTTCTTCATTATTCTTTTATTTGCTAATTGTATATTTTTATACCCTTGCAGACCGTCGAACAGTAGATTCTCGTATGGAACTTTTCTTTTGTTTTTTCAAGATATCTTGACCAAACTTGGCATTTATTAGTTTTACAATGCTGCTCATATATGTATATGCAAAATTCTTTCAACATCGGACCACTATGTCATTTAGCTTGCATAGGAACGATCGGACGAAAATTAAGTGTTGTTGTATCGAAAACTTTTTTATCATTCAAGATATTTTGAGCAAACTCGGCAAACCGATATAATATTCAATAAATAAATATTCGAAATAAATTACCGTGCATTTGTGAGGCTTTTCTCCAGTATGGCGACGCATGTGTACAACAAGCATGTACTGCGCCTTGAATGGCTTTTCACCGCGCGAACAAGCTTCCCAGCGGCAGACGAATGTCTTCTTGTTGCTCTGAATATGATCGTTGTTGATGTGTTTGACCAGCTCGTCCTGGGTCATGAACTCGACGCTACAGTTGCGCCAATGGCAATTGGTCTCGATGAAATCACCTGGCTCATCTTTAATGTCCGTTGTGTCCGCCGTGGCACAGTCGTATTCGTTGAACGGATGACCATCCGGATGACCATCGTCGTGGTGGCTGAGCCCCCGATGCCCCCCACCCAAGGCCTTGTTCCGTTGCCGCCGCTCCAAGAGATTCGCCGAAGCGCTGTCAGCTTCAACTTGGGCAACGCTTTCCGATGTCGACGACGGTTGTTCGATGGGCTTGGCTTTGGCCTGTAGTCGATTGCGATCGATGCTTCCATCATCGTAGTTCTTTAATTGATTTGCAATGTTTCGGTAAATTTTCTGCTATTCGATTATAAGAGCCCTGCATCGAATTAACTTTCATTTTTCGAATACTCAAGCATGTTGTGATTAAGCTGTTCGAGCTCGAACCTCGATCGGCTCGATTCGGTTCGAACTAGCAATTAAGTTCGATTTGATCGGATTAAATTCTGAAGAGTCTCAAATAGAGTCAATCGGATTTCGGTTCAATTCGAGAGAATTAACCGACGCAGGGCTTTAGTGTAAGAGTTGCAGATTCTCACCTTGTTCGAGCTAATGATGGGTTTGATCGCGGACTCATCTGCAACTGTGCTTAGCAACGTTGATGCTGGCGCCAATTCTTTGGCATTGGATTTGACAGAGACCTCGGTCAGGCTGAGGGCCGCAGCGCTGGCGGCTGCCGCATGGCTCATGGAATAGCTGGCAGCTGCCGCCGCCTGCATCGGATGCAGCAGTCCGGCGCTGGCGCGCAGCAGATGAGCCTGCAGCTGCTGCAGATGGGGCGACATCGTTGTGTGCGCATGCGCCATCGGACTGATGGCACTGGCAGAGAGATGGCCATAGGAGCCGCTCGCCGCGCTGCCCGCGCGGGAGCCATTCATAATCGTGGCCAGTGAGTTGGGCGAGAAGCGAATCATTGAGTTGATGTCAAACGAGTCGGAGTAGGGCGATGAGGAAAGCGCCCGTTTCCGGCTAACGCTGGCCCGCATGCTACCGGCGCCGCCGCCTGGACGAGGACTGCCCAGCCGTCCATTGCCGTCCAGGCTGAAATGGAAATCGGTGCTGGCCAGAGATCCCGCCGCGGCGGCTGCTGCTGCTGCCACAGCCGCATGATGCAGTTCGGTCAGCGAGCCCATACCCCGGGCACTTAAATACTCTCCAGAGCCCAGACCCAGGCCTGCCAGATGAAACGTTGGCGCACAGTTTCCGTACGGATCTGTGTGCGACAGTCAATTTGAGTGACGACTAGCCATTAAACGCGGACTACTTCTCTTACCGTGATAGGAAGCGGTGGGGCTGGCTCTCTGCAAGGAATAGAACTGTTCCACATAGCTGGGAATTCTGTAGGCCGGATGAAAATCATGCTGTGGCTGCGCCGGTTGCCCAGGCACACCATGATTGACATTGTGCCCATGGACATGATGCTGCTGCTGCTGATGATGATGGTGCAATGTGTGGCCGCCGGCGGCGCTGGAAGCCAAGCTGGAGTCCGCATGCCCTGAAGGGGGCATGGGTGATCCCGGCATTGGAACCGAGCTGCTCACGTCCGTTGTGTGTACCTGGTTGGCGGAAGGCGAACTCGGCAGCACCGAGGCCGAGACTGAAGACGCGGCAGCTGCCGCAGCCGCCCGCCTTGACGCCAAAAACTGCAATTCTGTATAACTGCCAAAAAAAAATATAAAAAAATGAAAAAAAAAATGTAAATATTTAAATAAATAAAATATGAAGAAGCCTAAATAAATTACATATGTGTTAAAATATAATAGAATAAAATAAAATGAGAAGCGAAGAGAACATCTCGATATATATAATAAATATGCATCTTTTATTTGGCCATCTATTTGCCTTATTCCTTTATTATCCCGACAACGCGGGATGAGGATTTGAATAAATGGAGTATAATTATATCTTTAAAAAACTGATTGGTGATCAACGCACAGCGCAAACCGTACGAGCCATTTATAATTTACTTCAAACTTATTTTCAGAGCTCTACAAAAGAATTTAGTAAATACGTGTTTTAGTTATTTGGGATATTTCACTCGCAATAGCGAAAAACGTTTGTATGAATGGTGCTTCCCATTTTTCGAAAATATCCATTCCTCCTTGATAAAAATGAGAGTTAAAGATTTGGGGGTGGCCTTTCGCCTTTAAATTCATTTCCATGAATCTACATAAAAAATCATTCAAGACGAGTTGCACATTTTTTGCAATATCTAAACTTCTTCGATGATACGTGCATTTTAATGATATTTTTGTAAATTTCTAGTTGAGTCCGATTTGCATCAAACAGTGGTAAAATGGAGGTAATTGAGAGTTTGTATGAGAGCAGTTTATTTACCGTCCGATCAGTTTCAAAATCATTTTCAAAGCTTTTTGAGAACATTTATTTTATACGTGCCACGGGCAAGGCCGGGGTATACTCGCTAGTATATAAATACAACATATCTTATAAGTAGCTGGTTTTAGTCGGGAGTTCCCGACTAGGGAATACTCTGAACCCTCTAATTTCAACGCCAAAATGCATAACGCGCAACGCGCTCGTGAAGTAATAAAGCTAAATTTAAAAAAAAAATTCCCTTGGCAGGGTTCCAGCTCGCAACTAACCGTAATACTTGCTGACGACTTTACTCAACAGACAAAATAGCAAAAAAAAAACTGTTTCCCATGTAGGGCTCGAACTTGGGACAGACCGCAACACTTGCTATGCCTCTACATAACAGCCACACCAATAATAACGTTTTATCGAGAGAAAAAAACAAACTAAAATGGCATTACAGAAAAAAGTCGCAATCACAATGCTGTTAGAATGTGATAGAAAGCGAAGCAGACGCGCATGAATGTGTACGTACATGTAAACACAAATTCTTGATATTTCGCTAGCTGTGCCATCCAATTGTGCAGTTACATAAAACTTTTGGTTTTCTCTTAACCGATCTTTTTGAAATTTGCTACAGTATATCTTATTGTACCATAGAAAATTGTAGCTTATATTCGTTGGGTTATTAACTTGATATACAGCTCTGTGTTAGCGAGGGATGGCGATAGGTATTAAATTAAAGATACTTGATATATATAAAATATTCTAATACTCTAATATTTACGGAAACGGAGTAAGTTATCGATTATCGGAAGCAAACTCGATCTACGCGGGCACTAGGAGGACCTACATCTAAAATTTTTCTAGCTCTTATAAGTTCTGAGATCCTTTCGTTCAGACATACGGACAGACCTGGCTATTGATGCTGATTAAGAATATATATACTTTATGGGGTCGGAGAAGCTTCCTTCTGCGGGTACAGGCCGGCCTTGCCCGTGGCCGTGTAAAATTAATTTTCTCAAAAGGCTTTGAAAATGATTTTGCAGGTGGAATTTCCCAAATCGTTGAAATACGTATTCATTAAGTTCTTATGTACAGCTTTCAAAATAATTTTGAAGCAAATCGGAAAAAAATAAAACATTATCATAAAAATCTTTGACTTGCACTTTTTACCGAGAATGGTTTGATTCTGCGTAAAATGTAAAACAGGTCTCAAATGATTTTTCTTATGTATCCTTGGAAATGTCACCCACCGTATCTTTGACCTCCATTTCTACCAAGCAGGAATACATTTTTGGAAAAGTTTAAAATACCCCTCAAATGGATTTACACAAAGAACATGGAAATTTAGTTTAAGGCCGATCGGATTGTAAACAAAAGAGTTTCATACAAACGTTTTTCTAGATTTTTCAATGTTTGCTAGTGGAAAATCAACATTTAATATTTGTGCAACAGATTTGTATTTCATTTTTAAATATCTGGATATGACCTAATTAAAGACTTGTTTTTCCGCTTGCCCAATTTATTAAATGGGCGAAATATTGTTTGCAATTTTTCTTCTGATCGTTTTCCTGACTGATTGACTGACTGATTAATTGACTGACTGACTGACTGTTCAACGCACAATCCAAGTCCTAGGAGCTAACAAGCTAAAATGTAGAAAAGATCACTTAAATTGAGTACACAAAATGTTCCATACAATCGTTTTTCACGTAAAAATTTCAGTAAAAATTTTAGCTTGTTAGCTCCTAGGACTTGGATATATATATATATATATATATATATATATAAACTTGCACTTAGGCAAATCTTTCGAAGAAAACCTCGGATACTTATAATCCATATATATATATGTGTATATATATATCCGAGGTTTCCTTCGAAAGATTTGGCTAAGTGCAAGTTTATTCCAGCGTACAGAGAATATATATGGCATACTTTGCGAATTCGATTAGAAATTCAAACGTGCTGTCTTGTGGCTTATGGCTGGGTACACTATTTACGATTAACAATAAAAATTCGCTTGAGGAGGCATTCGCCTCCGAATACAAATCAATCAAAGACCTGCGTTTTTAACTGCGTTCTCAGTTAAACACTCCGATAAATGTACTCTATTCACGTTATTGGTGTTATTTTCGACAAAAATATATACTCGAAAGGTTCAAAAAAAAATTTATGTAACTGTAAAAAACTTTTAATAACTTTTAGAATATCAGAAACAAAACGAAAAATCAGTTTGATTTTCTATTAAATCTAAAAAATAAATATTCATTTTAATAGTAAATATATTAAACAGCAAGACTGCGCCAATCAACACCGGGCAATTCAAGCGTCTATATAGATATAAGAGTTAGAAGCAAAAGGAACTATCGCTTGAAGACAAATGTTTGCTAAATCTAAGAAATAAATATTCATGTAAATAGTAATTATATTAATCAGCATTACTGCGCCGAACAACGCCGGAAAATTTTAGCGTATATATATATATATATATATATATATAAGTGTAGGATATTACCAGTCTCTTTCTATGTGTCTTTTCGAAGATCTATAAAACAGGTTTTAAAGAGAAGCAGCTCAAGAGAAATAAAATGATGCCGAGATCGTGACGCTAACAAAGACATCGACATCGACTTCGTGTCGAGCTGTACCCGCAGCAACCGACAAAAGGGAGGCTCGAAAGTGGAGCCCTTTATTACGGGCCTGGCTTTATATAAACGTTTGTTTGTGTGTCTGAGACCATGCTGAGGTCTTAATTAACTACATTCAAACAAAATGCCAAATAGAAGCATGCCTTTAGCTTCCATTTTTTAAAGAAACCCCGAAAGAACTTCCTTCTTTTAACTCTCTTAAACCTATTCACGTTAAACAGGAAATGCTTCAAAAAATTAATTTTAAAAACTCTGCCCTCAAAGTAGGAAGGAAAATTGAGGGGTCTAGATCCCTCGCATCGTTTGGTAGTCAAATCCCTCCTAGGGATTAAATATGTATATATTTATTTATTAGAGTAATTTATATTATATATATGTATAATAATACACAAAAATTGATATATAATTATAATAACTATTATTGACTGTCAGCAAAGCGTAAGTTAACATCTGGAATAAAAATAATAAACATGAATCTAGTTATTATAAAAAGGGTTCGAAATTGATAAATCTGGGTATTGAGGGAGAGTTATCAAGATTCTTAGCTGGCCTGTTATAATGGATAAACTACTTAACAAACTTATAAGTGGGTTAAGTGGGTATTAAAAGGTTTCGAATCGGTTCAAACCCCGCATTCTAATTTATTTAGTACTATTAACCAAAAAGTATACCAAAATAATTATACCAAAAGTTTCGGCTTAAAATTAAAAAATTAAGACTCGGGGAGACTCGGCTCCAAAATATAGAAAACTTTGGAAACAACAATTTAATTTATCATACCATATTTGGCAGATGTCGATTTTTTGATAAGCATTAAATTTAGACCAGGTTTACAAATCAAACCTTAAATTTCCTTTGCTCTCTTATCCCAGAAACCGAAACAGAACAATTATATTTTCGAATTAAATAAAAAATTATATAATACTCACGCTAGCGGAAAATACGTTGGTAATGTGTACGCATCCATTTTGGAGTGTGCCGATGTCGATTTGGACTGAAATTGGATTTGGTCACACAGTCTTTTATTTTAAAGTAATTTATTCATTTTGTTGCCGTCGGCGCTGCACCATTGGTTGAATTTTCAAACAGAATTGATCAGTTACGATTTTTTAACATACACATGTGTATATTGTATATATATTCTATACCACGCCAAAAGCGTATGCATAGTTATAGAATTTGTGATTATACAGATTTAAACGCACACACACTCAAACTACGCATACATATGCATGTATGTATATACATATATGTATACATGTGAACTGTAAACGGAACTGGCAGCAACTTCATTAGAATTTCATTATTTTTAGCATTTTTACTTCTTGTCTAGGTGTTCGCTTCTGCACGAGGATGCGTCTGCACATTTTAGACAGTTGTATGTACATACATATGTACATACACATAGATTTTCTTCTATGTTTCCTCGTTGATTCACACTGGCGATAGTGTTTAATTGTTCATAGATATCCATATGCAGATGCATACATACATAGAGATGAATTTATGCATTTAAATTATGCATTGACATAGGACACTCACACACACGTACCTACACATATGTGTACACGACAGTACAGCACAACATTGAACCGCTCGAGGGCATCAATGAACCACTTAATTTGTAACTTTCAGGCAGCAAAAACAAATTATGTGTGACAAAGTCAATAACGGGCGTGTACGGCACGGCGTCTTTCTGCCGTGTTTATTCCGAGCGGACTGAGGCAGCAGCAGCTCTTGCAATGCCTCGCTTGCTTTAGCTGGAGCAGCGAACGGTGCTCACGCACACCCATGCCTGGAAACAAAAAACAAACAGATACTGGTACAGATTGAGACACAGACATATATAAATACACACACACACACACACACACACACACGTAGATACGACGCCATAGACACAAGTGTATACAGTCACAGGTCACGATCTGCTCTGCCTTTGCCTCTGTTTGCTCTCAGACCTAAGTTGAGAGAAGGCGGGCACATTGAAGATGACCATACCAAAACGTCGGCTCTCTTGCTAGATCGACTCTCGCCACATCAGTGTTGCCCCATCTAGCTGTGGAAAAACTGTTGACGGCTACAAAATAAATAGGATGCAACTGGTAACACAATTCATACAAACTGAGCATCCCATAAAAAAAAAAAAATTATCTTTTTATTTAGTTTTTTTTTGCAGCAACCAATGCTTTGTTACTTTTAAGCGATAAATGCACTGCGTAAATGTGTACTCAAATACATCTGATCAATTTGAAGAAAATCTCTAAATTTCAGTTAAGAAACGTTGGATGCACATTAAATTATGAATAACTAAATGATTAATATATAAATATTACCTTGTAAAATGAGTGTCCTCTACGAAATTGCTATATATATATTTTCTTTTTATTTTAAAACATATATATTCGAATTGCCGCTTTATTCAATTTGCCAGCACTATCAATGATAAAACTGTTGTCCCTCTCTCTGCAAGCCGTAGCTCAGCAGATACAATACATGCACATGCATACATGTTGTCTCGGCGTCGGCGAACCCAACTTTAACAACTTGCTACTTGTTATGCAGCAGACGTGCACAGACCATCTTTTAGGCGCACCCACATTGTGTCTGCACAGAGCTCTCTTCAATGTTTACCTCTCTCTCTCTATCTCCCTCTCTCTCTCTCTCCCGCTTTTTCATTGCTTGCCTCCCGTTTTCGCGTGCACACACTCGGATCTCATTCTGTACATCTCACTCACTCTTTCTCACTCATTACAGCGTAGACAGTGTGTGTGTGTGTACGCATCAGAGCTCAATTAATGCAACAAAATGCTCTTTTTATAAAGAAATTACGCGGATGTATCCGGGTTTTGAAAAGTCAGACTGCATAATTTGACCAAATGACCAGCTATATCCTTCTAGAATTGAGTAAACAATTCGCACTTCATCAAAGCAGATCCAATATATCCCTTATTTTATAGATGGATGCTTTTGTAGATATACTCTGTACATATTTGTGCTTCCCAATAAAGATGAGATTTACTTGACTTTGTCAACATTTACGCACCAAGTGCCACCGAATAAGCGTATGTCCATACAAATATATGTTATGGGAGAGTCTACGAATCATACAAATTTGTTTACTTTCCGGTCTTAAGAATCAATACAAGTCTTACGAACACCTGATTTCTAGTCTTGCACTTGCACATATTCTTTTCGTTTTACTTTTAAAATTTAATTTCAAAAAGGATTTACCTAGGATGTACCAGGGTTGTAATATCAATTTTCATTCTACTAAGCAGATGAACCATTTCTTTTTTATACCCTGAACCCATTAAAAACGGGTATAAGCGTATATTGTATTTGTGCATATATATGTATATATATGTATATATATTCTTGATCAGCAATAGTCAAGTCGATCTAGCCATGTCCGCCAGTCTGTCTGTCTGTCTGTCCGTCCGTCTATTCGTCCGTCCGTACGTATGTGTGAACGCAAGGATCTCAGATCCTATAAGAGCTAGAAACTTGAAATTTATGTTTATTTATGAAAATAGATGTAGGTGCTCCTAGTGACTGCGCAGATCGAGTTTGTTTCCGATAATCGATAACTTACTCCGTTTCCAAGAAATCGATAAAAATCGATTTCGATATTGTTTTTTGGGCAAATTCTTGAACTTGAAATATAGCTTCTAAAATAGAATAAATATATGCATTTGATGTTGTAAGAATGGAGTTCAGGGTATCCCCTAGTCGGGAGCTCCCGACTAGAACCTCAGAATATAAAAGCTTTTTAACGGAGGCACAGTCCCAAAGCATAAATATCTTGGCTCCTTCCAATGGATTTATTTTACCTTATTTTTTAGAGATCAATTATAGCAAAATTCAAACAAGTTTAATTATTAATAAATAAATAGATATATTACAAGCCATATTTTGAACCGAACATGGGTTCATAGATGTGGAAAACTAGATTGGGAAACCGAATCTCACAAGGAAGTATTTTTAACACAAACGTAATAAGATAAATGTAATAAAGATAATACCAACTTGTATAACTCCACTTAATCAATATTGAGATCAAGTCAAGTGATATAATAACTTTTATATATTATAAATATAAAATAATTCAATTAAATTGAATCACTTGGATAAATAATGCTAGTGCATATACGTATATAATATACTAGCGGGTATAGCCTGGCCTGGCCTGGCCTGTGGCACTTATGTTATAAAATTAATGTTCTCGAATAGCTTTGAAAATGATTTTGAAATTGAGCAGACAGTAAACAAACTACTCTCATACAAACGTTTTCCGTCATTTTACCTCTGTTTCGAGTGGAATTCCCCAAATCCCTGAAACACGTATTCATTATATTCTTATATAGAGCTTTCGAAATAAGTTTGATGCAAATCGGACAGAGCTTAAAATCTAAAAAAAATTACTTAAAAATCCACTTACCACCGTAAGAGCTTAGATTTTGCAAAAAATCCATGCAAATGAATTTGAAGGCAAAAGACCACCCACCAAATCTTTGACTCCCATTTCCACCAAGGAGGAATGTATTTTTCGAAAAGTGTGAAACTCCCCTCTAATGAATTTTAGCAATGATCTTTGAAAATAAGTTTCAGACCGATCCGATGGTTAACAAAACCAACATTTTTCGCTAATTAACCACCGTTGTGGGTGGAATCTTTAAGTTCTTATGTAGAGCTTTAAAAATAAGTGTGCAGCAAATCGGACACACACTTTAAACTGCGATCGAAAAATCTTTGAATCGCATTTCTACCGAAGGAGTTTAGAATTTGCGAAAAATGTGAATCACGTCTCAAATGCTTTTTCATATAGAGCTTTGAAAATGAATTTGAGCACGAAACGTCACCCACCAAATCTTTGACCCCCATTTCCACCAAGGAGGAATACAGTTTTGGAAAAGTGTAGACACCCCTGAATTAAATTTGAACAAATAACTTTGAAATTGAGTTTGAGGCCAATCGGATGGTAAACAGAAAAGTTTCATACAAACGTTTTTCGCGATTTTTCCATACTTGTGGGTGGAATATCCTGAATGTATGGAATATCTTAACGTGCATCTTCATCACATAAGGTAACCACAGTGAAAATTTCGGCTTCCTACCTCTTACGGTTTGGGCTGTGCGTTGATCACCAATCAGCCATTCAGTCAGTCAAGACAAAGAGTTTTATGTATAGAGATATAAGATATAATAAGATATATATAATATATACAAAATAGAAAATAATAAGATATAAGATATAGATAATATGTATATAATAGAAAATATATAAGATATAGGACACTGAAAAAAATATATGATATAAAACATATATAAGATAATGTTTTGTTTTGGATATTACTCTATTTTTCTGTCCGTACTCTAATTTTATTTAAGTATTTTGTCAAACAAAAAGAGTGGGCTTTGCGAAAAACGTATTAAATAAATGTTCAAAAAATATTGGAGAATTACCTCGCAACTGATCGAAAAAAATAACATTAGAAAAATAACATAGGAAAAAAATTATAAGCAAAAAACATGCTAAAAATTAGGAAGCACAAAACTGGCTAGGTATTTTTTTTACGCATGTTTAATAATTCCTCAACATTTCATATTATACTTATATATTATATAATTTTAAATGCAATAATTTGATATGTAGGCATAAATCTATAAATTGTATCTTTTATATACTCTTGCCCCACTCTTCAAAAAGCTCATATTAGGAAGTAAAAACTTGCGACTGCGCATATTAACTTATTTGAATGATATCCGAAAGAGCATGAAACAGAGAAGTTCTTCAATTTCAGGACATTTATTTTGAAAATCTAGAAACGTGTCTGCTTCGCCAAAAAGGACAGTCGAACTAGTCTTTCAGACTCTGCAAATCGTTGGCATTGTGGCAAATGTACCTGGAAGGTGCGGACATTTGTCAAAGGCAGAGTCGACATCGAACCAACCTCCGGCAACCTGCGGCGTGGCAAGAGAATCTTCGGACTCGAACTCGGACCCAAATTCTGCTAGGTATGTACATACATATATGTATGTACGTGTGTATGCAGGGCAACACAGCGGGAACTGAAACGAACCTCGAAAATGCGCTTGCTGTGCGCTCCTCTACGATCTCATTATGTGTTTTCCCTTTTGTAATTTAACGTCTTATTCAAGTCATTCCAAGATCTTTTTACTCTATGAAAAACACCAGACCCAGCTCCGTGCTGCCTGCCTGTTGCCTGCCTGTTGCCTGCCTGCCTGCCTGTGATTATGAATACAAAGCATTCACATTCACACTCACACTTGTGCGCATTCGTCTTATTTAACGAGGGAACTTCGTCGTTTCTCGGAAACAACATAAAACCAGATATGTATGTATTAATATATGTACATATATATGTATATGAACATATGGCTTTATGTAGGTGTATACGTAAGTTTTTTGGTTTTGCATCTGCATTTGAGTCCCCGCACAGCATCATCCGGCGACAGTCCAAGACGATGTAACATGCAGGAACACGTCGCGATCTAGAGAGCTTCGACAACTCCTTTGACGGCTCCTGCGCTTAAATACATACATACATATGTACATCAAAAATAATTTAGCAGCCTTTCCTTGAAAATATGTAAGTATACATACGTACAGAATACATGAATGTACATATTATACATATACATATACATATACATATACATACACATATACATATATGCATATATAGAAGTGTGTACATATGTACGTATGTACATCAGGAGTGCATTTATGCTTTCATTTTATATCTTTTACGCTTTCATATTAAGACTGACAATCGAAGGAGTCCGAATGACTTTATTTTCAATACGACTTCTCGAGCATGGGTCTGGGCCGATGTTAAGGGCTTAATTAGTCAGCAAATCGAAGCCCCAAACGAAGTAGTCAACGGAGTCTGATGCGTCGTACTCTCGCTCTCAAATCCAGTTTTAGTTGTTTTTTTTATTACATACCTAAATACTTCATTTCCACATGTGCCTACATATGTACATACATACATACATACAGTTCTTACAAAAGTATAAGCATGCATGTGTATGCATGTATGTGTATAGGCATACATATGTATATGTTGTATATGTGCATGTAGTGATCAGTGTGCGGATACATACAAACACACAAGCATACACACACATGCAAACACACACATGCTATGTATCGAATTCAGCATCAGCAGCGGCAGAAAGACTTCGTACTCGGAGGAGATCAACAATTATGCTGTATGTAGCTCGTATATATGTATGTATGTATGTAGGCGCAGACACTCGTACGTTAGTATGTATGGCTGGATGCCAGAAAAGCCAAAAGAGTTTTAAAAGAGTTGACAAGAACAGCTACAACAACAAAATCAAGTAAATTGTTGCTTTCGTCGACTTTTTTCTAGGGCTGCTCAACAAGTATTTAATATGTATGGAAATATATATTATGTATTATGATATATTATATTAAAATATTGTTTGTTCTGCTGAAAAAAAATAAAAGCCGTAAATATATGAAACCCTGGCTAAATTTGTTAAATAAATCCAAGTCCAACGATGGATCTCAAAAATTCAATGGTATTTTTTTTTTAACCCTTTGTTCGGTTTGAATGTTTTTGTGCCTTTATTTTATATTAAATTTATTTGTATATTTTAATATTAAATAATAAAAAATAATATAATATATATACATATATCTAAATACATTTCAATAGTATTCAATTAACCCATGCCGGTGAACTTGAAGAGTAAGGCCGTGAGCTTCAGTTAAGCCCCATTCGATGCAATCGCTTGTATCGCGACCTTTTCCCCCCTCTTCATCTCTTTTCCTCGACGGCCTTCTATGTAGGCCCCATCCAACGGCTCCATCTCGCATCGTGCTGCTGTCGCTTCTCTTGCTGATGAAGACATTATTATTTATAAGGCCAACCACAGCGAATGTTGCGTGTCCGTGTTTGTGCCTGCGTCAGTGTCGGTGACTGTGTCTGTGTGCGTGTGTGTGTGTGTGACTGTGCATGTATTGTGTCTGTGTTAAGTGTGTGTGTGTGTGTGTGTATAAATTTAAACACATAGCTTTGCGATCGTATCAATTCCCCATTATTATACTCAACATATCTATGCACATACAAAATATACAAATATACATTTTTATAATTATACAAATATATATGTAGTTCTTTCTATACTATATAAATATATGTATTTCTATGGTCAACCCGAATGCATTGCGACTCGCGTAACGTTACATGTTACATTTACATATATGTATGTTAGATACTTGCCACATACATAACCACACTTATTTTAGCTACATATATGCTTTAGTTTAGTCTCACAACTCGATTCTCATTTCGAATGATTTAATTTGGTTTTACAGTATTAACAGGGCGACTACCGAACTAGCAGTTGGGTACATCCGACTTGTTAAAAAAAAAACGTTTATGCTGCGTACTGTATCTGCACCTGTGGTCGGTATTTGGATAGTAACGCCTTATACACAAAAGACTGCAAAATAATGAATAATAAAAAAATTATTCAAAATCTCCATTTTGCTAAGTTAGCTGTAAATTAGGCAGTATCCATGAGGACCTTGCTTTTCTCTATGTTTTCACCCATTTCGCATCAGATCTTTAAGAATATGAACTAATCAAATAATTAAGCATGCTAATTCTCATTTTCCTTAGAGACAGAAGTCGACCATCGACCGATAACTATCTACTCGTCTGTTGATGTTGAAAATTAAGAACATATATATATATATATACATATAGTATACATAGTAAATAAACATAATAATAATAATTATATATGTATTAATATTATTATTTTGCTACTATTGACCACAATTATCTGATTTTCTAGTCCCCCGAGAACATTCTTAAGATCGGCACTCAGTTTATTATTTAAGTAAGTACTTTTACCAGCAAAGTATCGATACCATAACCGCTACCACAAATGCGCGCTCTTGATTTATTCTTACATGAATGCCCTCGATAATTCTTAATTGAACGGTCTCAACCGCAAGACTGTTTAGCACCAGGTAATTGTGACAAATATGAGATGCAATTGGCTCTGTATGTGTGCGCGTACTTAAATTGAGCTTAAGTTAATATTTTGTCTTAGCGGGTATTCGGTGAATACCGACCTTGCCAAGTACCATGCAAAGTACATTGAGTATTTTAGTGTCCTAGCTCTAATTAATTGGGCGTTAATCAAATTCATATAAATAATTAATTATTAATAAATTGAGTGGGAACGAAAGCAAATTGATAGCATATTCGCGTAGAGCAGGTTTTTTTTATACCCTTGCAGAGGGTATTTTAATTTTGTCGTAAGATGGGTAACGCATAGAAGGAGACATCTCCGACCCCATAAAATATATATATTCTTGATCAGCATCAACAGCCGAGTGGAAAAAGCCATGTCCGGCTGGCCGTCCGTCCGTCTGTCTGTTTCTATGCGAACTAGTCCCTCAGTTTTAAAGCTATCTTAATGAAACTTTGCAGAGCTCCCTCTTTCTGTTGCACGCAGCACATATGTGAAAACCAGCTGGATCGGACCACTATATCATATAGCTGCCATAGGAATGATCGATCGAAAATTAAGTTTTTGTATGAAAAAACATTTTGTTTTTCAAGATATCTTGACCAAACTCGGCATTTATTAGTTTTACTTTACTCCTCATATATGTGCAAAATCCTATTAAGATCGGACCACTATATCATATAGCTGCGATAGGAACGATCGGTCGAAAATTAAGCTTTTGTATGAAAAACATATTTTTTTTCAAGATATCTTGACCAAACTCGTCATTAACTATTTTCCATGTGCTTTGTGAAAAGGTTGGGTCTGCAAGGGTATAAGATCTTCAGCGTGCTGAAGATAGCCTTACTTTCTCGTTATTTTTTAAGTAGGCGCTAATTTTACAAAATTAAGATCCTATTTGCATTTTTTAAATTTACTGGCCCAATTATATCAAGGGATGGATACTGAGAAAATTGTGAAACACCCCTCTAAGATCAATTTTAACAAGGCCGATCGGATGGTTAACAAACAAATTTCGTATAAACGCTATTCGCAATTTTCCACACTTAAGGGTGAAATTGCCCGAAACGGGGAAACGCTTGGTCTGTGCATTGAGCAGCAATATAAATAGTTGTGTCTATTTTTGTGCAATTCTAACTATAATTGTAATTTAGAATTAAATTTTTCTTTAATTAACTAGACTTGGTTTTTATAAGTGATATATGTACTTGATCCTACTTGCCTACCAACTTTGCTTTCTGTTTTCGATAATTAAGTGTTATCAGACGAAAGTGTCTTTTAAAATTTTAAAATTCATAAATTGTCATCTAAGGAAGATCCAAATGAGTAATCAAAAATATTGCTACTAGTACAATTTTTACTACAAAGTCCCCCTTTACTTCTTAGACAACATATTATTTTGGTTTATAAGTTCTTCAAGTCATAAAATATCCTCGAAAATGAATTGCAAACTGGTTCTCCGTGTTATAAACAAATATATATAGATTAAAAACATGTAAGTCTCTAGGTCTTGTAATTTTATAATTTAATGGTCGTTCTGATCAAGAATATATACTTATACTTACATTCTTCTATTTGTTTCAGAGAGAATGAGAGGGAATCTTTAGATATATATGTATATGTAATTACAGTAACTGTCTCATTGTATCCCTTTAATTGGGGAAATTCCCAAAAATTTCTTTACTTGGGGAAGTTTGTGGGCAGCGCATTTTCTGTCATAATTTCGTACGGCATATGAGAGGCATTTCTTTACAATTCATATGTCAAATTGTACGACTAGGAGGGATATCCGTTAGAAGAGTTTTCGCTGTAGTTTGCCATAAAAAACATAAGTAAAAGTACAAACGTTAATATTCCCCTATAAACATATTTATTTTGGTGTGCATTTTTGTATCCAAAATATTCGGTTAGGGTATTTAAGGTTGAGCCCGAACTGACATCTGAGCAACTTTGTACCCGACTAATGAAGACATTCCATACTGATGGCTTATGCTCGATGAAGTATTCAACTATAAAACGAAAAAAAGAAAAAAGCCTAAACCGGTCCTTTAAAACTTTATTTTAGAGTCGCCGTCGTATGTATGTATGTATGTATGTAAGCAAAACTTAAGCTTTTGTGCTTGTGTCTGTGCACAGTCATCAGCTTGTGTGTTGTGTATATGTGTGTGCTTATGTGTGTGTGTGTGTGCGTATACATATAATATCACCCAATAAACATAAACTGACAACTGTGTAACTCGTGCTGGCCGATAGCTAACAGAGCAAACAGTACGGCTTAAATTAAAGATAATAAATAAAAAAATAATAAAAAATTATATGAATACCAACACTACAATATAATATAAATACTATACAATATAAAGAAAAAAATAGATATATAGACTATTTATATAAAAATATGACTGTGACTCAATTCAATCAAGCTCTTCTTTACGTGAAATGAGATTAACAAGAAACGTATGTATTCAAATTTTCATTAAGGGGCACACGTTATAAACTTAATATACACGCCGAAAGTATTTTAAGAACAATTTTTATTGGGCAAGAAGGGGTTAAGGTTGCTCTTTTGAAGAGAAGAGGACAGAAAGAGATGTGCGTGTGTGTGTGCGGCGTGCTCTCTTTTGAGTTTGTATGTTTGTGAATGGCTTCAATACATCTGAAGTCGATCTAGTTATTTATGTGGCGGGCAAAAGGTAAAACAGGTTGCATAGGAGGAGTTTCAACGGAAAAAATAAACAAAATGGCGAAAATGCGAAATCACTCACAAATCCAGCATTTAAGCCCAAGAAATCAGTTTGCAATTTCATATAATTATCTACATATGTATATGTTTACCATTTTTTTTTTGTTTTTCATCCGATTGGTTTCAAATTGACTTTTAAAATTTGTTGGCACAGGTTGAATAATTATCATAACCATGTCATAATGAGATATAAATTCTAACAAAAGGTGTCGATAAGACTTTTTTTCCTTGTGAGCAAAACTAACTTTTTAAGTACAAAACTTGGAAAAATTGTTTATGCACACCTAATTATTGTTGTTTTCATCCACCAGTTGGCAACTGACAAAAACACAAATTAAAATGGATTTTAAAAATATATTTTACACAGTTCTATTAATTCCATATCAGTTATGAAAATCCTTCATAATTTGGTCAGTTATGATCTTTATTTAAATCTTGCACTGTTAATTCCTTCGTTAACTACTAAGAATTTGAATAACAACTACTCCCTTTATTTATCTACTTAAATAAAAGTAAGAACAACGACAGGGGAAATACCCTGTCTTCTGCTCCCAATTGTAATATAAAAGTTCAAAACATATACATATACAGAAATGATGGATCAAGATGGATCCATTTCGATTCTTATCTTATGCTGGGAAACGGCGATGGGATGGACTTGTTCATAAATACTGCTGCATTGACTCTGATTTTGATACTGATCAAAAATCGGTGCACGAAGAGTTATGCTGCCTGTTATATACATTTGTTTCATACCATTATACTACGTATACAATAAACTGATTATTTACTTCGAACGACTTTGAACGCATTTTACTTACAAAAGTGCGTCAGGTGTTATGTTATGACTGCACTACGCCAATTAACAGCTGTTGTTAACTGCGTTACGCCATTGAGCCGCATTCGAGACTAATCGATAGTTCAAATAATCGATCACTCGCAGTAGTGAAAGCCAAGCTTCGTTTTCTCCATGTGGCAATGCAATTTCGATAAGCTGGCAGGGCTTGACAGTGTGTTGACAGTGTTGACAGCGCGCGTTGGTAAAGAGTGACCTGTCTGTTTAAATTTACGCGGCAAATTCAAATTTGGCATCTCGAGCAGTAGAAAACCATTTGGTTTTAACTTGCATTGATTTGACCGCAAGTCGAAATTTATTCTAAGGCAACTAATATTAAAATTGTACTAATTTAAAAGCTGAGCATAGTTGTCTTAAAAACAATGTATATGTCAGTTATTCATCTAACCTAGGATCGGTAATGGAAATAACTAAAATAAAACAAAAATAATTAACAGTAGAAATTTGAAAAAAGCTTACAATTATTCAAATGATTGGACAAAGTTTATTATTTTTTTTCCGTCAGTTAACAAAAAACGTGCCTAGGTAGAAACAAAGCGGTAGCCGACAGTACAGATAAATAATTACAAAAAAGGTCAACATTTACGGATTAGTTTTTCTTCTCCTCTTCCTTTTCAACCTCAGGATATTCCAGTTTCACACCAGGCTCGCAGGTGAAGATGGGACAGCAGAAGGGAAATGGTGCCGTCTTATTGGTCTTCTCGGTATCCAACTTACACTTATCGTTGGCTAGCGACAACGGCAAAGGACCGCAGTCTTCTACAAGTTCCAAGAGCCTGTATATATGTATATATAGAACGTTGAATGTATATTGAATTTTAACAAAGTTATTTATTTATGATCTTACTTTGAAGGATTTTCTTCGTTTTGAACGCAAGTCGAACGGCCACAGAATGGCGTTAATTCCCACGTCTTGCCGGGCTCTACTGTAGCACAGCGAGTCGATGCGAAACACATTCCAGGAAAATCTTTAGAAATACCAATTATTTTAGAAAAGATTTTAAAAATTATAGATTGAAAAAATTTGAAAATTAATTTACATTTTTTAATATAAATATAAATGCAAGAAAGTTTGGTATTACAAGAATTCAAAAGAACGCAACCTGCTTTTTATCTATATAATATATATAAATGAGGCATTATACATATAATCATATAATCCATTTTATAAAAAGTTTAGCAAACAAATACATATATACAACTTACAATGCCGTTGACTCGATGCACAGAAATACAAAAAAAACGTATCTCAACTAAGAATCTACGTCCCGCGTGCCCATTCTCTTGGTTGGCATTGATTTGAAGAGGTAAATCGCATTGTAATTTGTATGTAGGTTTTACTCGAATGCTTTCGAAACAGCTCAAGCGAATACAAATTTGTTGAATGTGACTGGGGCAGTGCCATAAACTGGCTTTCGGTTTCGCACATATAAATTAATATATACATATACATATACATATATGTATTTATATATATAAGTTGCCACGACTACATTATGTTTAACTATCAACCGTTACTCAATCAAAAGTCGAACTGTCTTAAACTCTAAATCATATCGACAGCTTTTGACTCGAAAAAAGGAAAGGATTTAATAACTCCGAAACCTGTGACTCACCTCGGAGCACATCGGCCGGAATGAGCCGTTTGTAGATTTTGATTTCACCATCTTTCTGCGCATCATCTGCGGCTGCTGCTGCTGCTGCGGCTGACTTTTCGGCAGCCATAGCAATGGCAGGGACCAGCAGAAAGGCCAGCGCGAAGCCAGCTAAGATTGAAGTAAACTTAATCATTTTTCTCGTTCTTTTTTTTTTAACGACCGACAACAACAACTAGAAAATGAAGTTCAGATCGACGATTCCGAACGCCGACCAGAAACAAGTCCGCTTCAAGCGAAAGTGAACACCGAATTGAGACTACCGGACGAAGTATTACCACTATTTATAGGCGAAATCATGCTTGTGGATTTTCGAGTTTTTGTTTTGTTTTTTTTTTTTTTTTTTTTATAATGCGTTTTTTTTTTGTTTTGTAGATATGACTTGCCGCTCGGTCTGTGGCTGACAAAACGGAGCTTTGTCGACTTGGATGTTGACGTCGATATTAGCGTATGTATGCCAGTTACACATACACATACACATACACATACATTTGTATGCATGTATCTGCATAGTTTATAAGACTATGTATATGTATTTATCTAGATGTGTATGTGCTCGCATATTGCATTCAAAATGTACTGTTGCTTATGAAAGGTATTTCTCAAAGTTGACATATATGCATGTGTGTGTGTGTGTGTGTGTGTGTGTGTGCGTATGTGATGCATAACATGGACATGTACGCACTTATGCATGCAAAAAGAGCATTAGCTGAGCCGGTCCTGAAGTCACGTCACCAAATTTGGTACATCTACTGTAAAACACAGCCTGAATCAGTTGAAATCCAAATTACATATAGAAAAAATCGAATCGTATATCCTGCCTATCCTCTTCTTGGAAAGTATCGTTATTCTGATGTAATAAAAGTATTTTATTTGTGAAGTAATTAAAAAGTTAAAGTTAAAGGACAATTAATTACAATTAAAAATATACTCATTGGTAATTTCCTATTTTAGTACATCCCTAGATTACTCTAAACAACGGTAACCGCTCAAAGGCTGAATGAAACTGATTTGAATTTATTTACCCTGCACTATTAAATAAAACGCACGAAAACTTTACAAATATGTTAAAATTCGAATTTATAAAGAGATTTATTTTTTATTTTATTTAGGTTTAAATAATGAATTAAAAACTGCAACGGCTAGTCCATGCGATTGAAAATATATTTTTCAGCTATAAGCATTTCGTCAATTTTAGTGCCAAAATAAGGAGAACAGCAGAAACAATGGGTTGGACAAACAGCCAGCGTGGCCAAACTAGAAAAAATACTGTTTTCCAGAGACAACAAAATCGTAAGTATAGCCAAATTTTCTAGATGTACTGTGACTAAAATAATATTCATATTATTGACAAAAAGGAAAATGTATTACATTTAATTGTTAACTTAATTCATATTTTTGTTTTAAGCATTTAAATTGTCCGACCGATAGTCAAATTAACGATATATTGGTGACAAATGGAAACTATCGATAACAATATAGCTCCAATCGTTACACGTCAATTTTTAGTCGCAAAATTTGTGTGAAAATCTAGAATCTATTTATTTCAGCAGAACACGAAAGAGAGAAATGGGATTGACAATATCTAGTTTACTAACGCGACTATTTGGCAAAAAACAAATGCGCATTCTAATGGGTAGGTCTCTCGAATGCAGTTTGATTATACGTAATGAGAATACACCTCCTTTAATTTGACGGTAAAGTTCCAGCCACGCAGCCATATATGTATGTGCAGCCATATATGTATGTATGTACATAGGGAAACACTCATGTATACTCATAGCATATTATTTACACGTACATATATACATACGTTCACGTTGAGCATCAAGTAAAATGTTTTTGTGTTGTCTCGTGCGCAGTTGGCCTGGACGCTGCCGGAAAGACAACCATTCTGTACAAATTGAAGCTGGGCGAAATCGTAACGACCATTCCAACAATCGGATTTAATGTGGAAACCGTGGAGTACAAAAATATATGTTTCACCGTTTGGGATGTCGGCGGCCAGGACAAAATTCGGCCGCTCTGGCGTCACTATTTCCAAAATACACAAGGCCTTATTTTTGTCGTCGACTCGAACGATCGCGATCGGATAACCGAGGCCGAAAAAGAACTCCAAAACATGGTAAACAGTATATATTCTTCCTATGCACGTGCAATGTTTAAATTTTGTTGTATCGTTATCTTCGTTTATAGCTTCAAGAAGATGAGCTAAGGGATGCCGTGCTCTTAGTTTTTGCCAACAAACAGGATCTACCGAACGCTATGAGTGCTGCCGAACTAACTGACAAGTTGCACCTGAATCAATTGAGAAACCGCCACGTAAGCTATTCCTTCTATCCTCTCACACGACTCTTGGGTAATTTGATCCTTTTATATATTATTTCAGTGGTTTATTCAGTCGACTTGCGCAACCCAGGGACACGGTTTATATGAGGGACTAGATTGGCTGTCAGCTGAATTGGCCAAAAAATGATCTGTAATAATTTCCAATCAAGCGCTAAGATTTTGTTTTGTCTTCACCATGAAAACAATTAACATTGAATAGATTCTTAATAAATATGTATGTGTATGATAAGTCAAGATCTTCAAACATGTTTGCAATTGAAAAACACGACAACATAAACAATTATAATTAAGAATGGATTTAAATACAGGTTCGTTTTATATATGTATATAACATTTTGTAATCAACAACTTTAAATTACGCATACAAACAAAAAACTATACCAAAACGCGCAGCCATGAAAAGATAAATGTATGTACAATGTGTGCGTAGTTTGTGATTAACAAATCATTTCAGCACTAAAATACATAAAGATAACTATCAATTATTTGCTAATACAACTTTGCTAACTGGCTGCTTTAAACTCAACAAAAAGAGGTGTTTAAATGGAGGTAACTTAGGCGACACACAAAATTTGCTAAGTAATACAATATAAATAAAATATAAAATGTCTGCATAGTAAGTACAGGAAAAATGATAACTGGCTGCTTTTCGAAGTAACGAACATTGGAATGCATATGTATGGAAGGTCATATACAAATGTGTCTAAATATAAGGCGGTCGCTTCAATTATCTATATATATATACACATTGTACATACAGCGATCGATTTGTGACGCAAGGATTATAACAACTGCATTATTGTAGCATTTCTCCATTAATACTTATCATATACGTAGGCACGCATTTTGCAATGCAAGCAATAATACTAAGCTATTCCATGAAAGTTTCAAGTTTGCGTCAGCCCCTGACATGGCCAAATGGGTGCAGTTGCTCAACATGGCAATAATTATTGCTGCTCAGAGGTCAATATCCAGCGCATCCGGTGCCAACAGCATGGGCTCGCTATGGCTTTCGTCTACCAACGAGGACAGCGAGTCATTTATTATGACCGATGATAGGTCCACAGACTGGTGCTGATCATCGTCGACTGCATGCGATTGCTGCGATGCAGACAGAAGCGGATCGTGTCCAGAGCTATCGCAATCGTTTAGCATGTCAAATGCTGCATTTTGCTCGTTTCT